GACGTAAATATTTTGGCCCGACGCCTTATCTTGAGCGCGGCAACTGTCTGGCCTGATTTAGATTGATTTGAATTTTTTCAAATATTATAATATTAGAAAAAAAGATTGTTAACTGTATTAGCAAATATCCAAGAAAAAATTAAAAAAACTATGCGTCGTAAATCATAAAGTACTGGTTAACCCCTTTGACTCTGTTTTCTCGATCGAACTCTGTTAACTCGAATTCCTGGCTTAATCATATCGAACTTACCAATTCACTACCTTCCCTACGGGCCGGCTTAAAAAGAAAATTTTCAATTTGCTAACTCGAATCCCTGCAAATTTGAGCTGCTTTTCATTTTCCTACTATAAAGGGGATTAGAGATAAAGGGGTTCTTCCTTAAAAGGCAATTTTTTGGTGTATGGACATTTTGCTAGTACACAGAACTATGGCTAGCTGTTTGGCTAGCGCGAGAAAGCTTGTTTTACTGATAAAGAGTCGAGTCAAATGATTCAAACTTGCTGTGTAGCACGGCAAAGTTAACCCTGCCACACGGTAGTGGCAGGGCTCGGTTTCAAACATCATGCTTCTGCCGTGCTTAAGTCGAATTTTAAGATCGGCACGGCTGAATAGCATGACGTTTGAAACAGAACTGAGTGTACGTTATAGGTCATAACCAGCTCAGGATTAAGCCCTGAAAATGGTGAAAACAGTTTATAAGCACCGACACGGACATGCAATACAGTGATCATACGGATCATTGTCACTGCCACAAAAAATTTTATGGTTAGCACTTATTCAGGATTATCCGGGGTCCTGGTTATATGTACCGTCAAAGTAGTTACTGGTGGCAAAACGAACTTTTTTATTTGACTCAATTTTCCCTTAATTTTTGCCCTGCGCTGATCAGTCCCCAACGACATTTTCCAACTAAATGGTTGTTACCTAAATACAAAAAACATATTTGTCCTAGTCCTTACCCCCTGACCCTAATCCCTAAACATAGTTTCGCTAGTTGGCCTTATTTACCCAAGGAAGCAAATCTAAAAATACAGCTCGGACTGTCGGTCATTTTATAATAATCTCAAAACCTTGACTGGCTGCAGGTTATTTGATTCTAAAAAGGTGTAATTAAACTTTAAAACCGAGAAATGTTTCAAATACCCGTTGTAAATAGATTTGACTTACCCAGCAAACTCGTACCAGCGGGTACAACACCATGCAGCGAATGCGACAAATATTTTCAATTCTGCTCATTAACGTTTGGCCGAGGCCGAGTAATTAAGTGACAGGTTAACTGTATCAAAAAATTGCGGAAGCTAATTTGAATTTAAAATTTAATTTACTCATGATTTAAAGGGTTACCTAATCTCGTTCAGATCTCTTGTTGGCGAACCCGAAGGCGAGATCTGGTCAAGTAAGAAGTTCAAGTTTTTTGATTGGCTGGATTGTGAGCGAATCACGTGAGCGTTGTCATCTGCGCGAGGTGTAGCTTGTGCAATTCATTCTTTGCAAATTTTGTTTTTAGTAGAGTCTGTTCAAAATAAATATTTTTACTGGAAAAGTAGTTTTCCGTTTCAATATAACTTGTAAAACCATTTTTATCTTATCCTTAACGCTCTTTCAGTATCAAGATAAGGAAATGGGTCAAAAAATTGTCGTAAAAGTTGACTCGTACTGTTTTGAGCTTTTAGCGCGCGCTATGATAACTAAACTTAAATCAACTGCCCGCGTTGAATTTGATGATACAAACAACAACAAATATTGGTTGATTCATACTAGACCTGTTCGTAACCACGTTTGGTTGGAGAAAACTTCACGGCACTATCAAATTCATTGTGTAACACGTCGAAACACGGCTGCCATTTTGTCACATTCCTGACAGGCGATCACGTGCACAAATCAGATTTGACCAGTTCGTCGACAAGAGATATGGGAGCGAGATTTAGAGTTACTTCAAGATTTGATAAGGCGGCGACGCTGATGAAAACGTTAATGAAAAAACAAACCAATTTTGAAACAGCTTGGTTCCTTTCTTTACTTCAACATCCTCCACGGGCATTTGAACTTAACATTTCCAACTGTTCAAATTCCCATACCATTGCACCAATATGGTAGTCCAATGCCGTACTATAGTGCTAGATTTGAATGTCGAATTACCCACCAAAGAGGAAGCGCTAAAACTGTTGATTACAAAAACAGTTTTGCAATGACGCAATGCGACGTGTAATGACGTCAACTTGAGAATATATTTCACAATTGCCTTCTAAAAAGAGCCATAAAGTTAAAAAAAATAATTCAAAATAGGAAGGCGTTTTACAAAATCATGTGGTTTCTTAACACTTCAATGATCTTTAACACAAAAGCAGATACTTGCTTTTGACGTCATTTATTATGGAGAAAGGAAACTGGAACCATCCGCCATCTGGCGAATCTTGGATTAGCGATTTTAGATAATTAAATTTATACAGAATTTTGCTTAAACCCGTAGAAATGTAAGAAATCGTAATTTCAAATTTGATCTGTGTTTAAAAGGATGCTTAAACTGAGGAGAGAAAAATAAATGCGCTAGTGATGACATTCTGCGTTGGGGGACTAGATCGAACGCCCTCCGGTGTGAAGAGAGGCTAGGTAGTTATACTGGCACAGTGGTTGATCTAGGCCTTCAGATAAGGGGGTGGGGCCCGTACCCTGAGATGAGGGGGGGGACCTGGCCTAAAAAAATTTTTTGCCGGCCTTTCAGGCCTCAGCTTGGTCTAAAAATAAAAGGGGGCGGGGTGGGCCCCCCTGGATCCGGCACTGTTACATCACTTTTTGGAACTTTTCGAGAAAGAAAAAAGGCAAAAAAGGTAATTTGTTTCTACATCGGTATTTGCAAAATACAAAATACAAAACTAGTAAAATGAGCGACATAACTCTACGCGTTAAAATATGCAGTGTCGAATTGATCGGCGCATTATTTACTTAGTCCCCCTCGCGGTCGTTTCGTCCTATCGCGCAGCGAATCAGGTTGGAGCACTACTAAAGTCACAGATACAGTAGGAAAATTATCGTTCTAGCCTCTTACTTAAAAGCCCCCGCTACTCAGGCTCTAGTAGCACTCCTTGTTTATTTTTAAATTAGATAATTTTTTTTGTTTGCCTTGACCCAGCGCATTTCTTTAATGGAGGTCAAAAGTCTCTGGCACACCTAACACGATATATAAGACTGGAAATGACTCCCTTCACCCCTTNGGGGGGAGGCTGGGCCCCCTTGGATCCGGCACTGTTACATCACTTTTTGGAACTTTTGGAGAAAGAAAAAAGGCAAAAAAGGTAATTTGTTTCTACATCGGTATTTGCAAAATACAAAATACAAAACTAGTAAAATGAGCGACATAACTCTACGCGTTAAAATATGCAGTGTCGAATTGATCGGCGCATTATTTACTTAGTCCCCCCTCGCGGTGGTTTCGTCCTATCACGCAACGAATCAGGTTGGAGTACTGCTAAAGTCACAGATACAGTAGGAAAATTATCGTTCTAGCCTCTTACTTAAAAGCCCCCGCTACTCAGGCTCTAGTAGCACTCCTTGTTCATTTTTAAATTAGCTTATTTTTTTGTTTGCCTTGACCCAGCGCATTTCTTAGACTGCGAGCAGTCTCTCTTTTTCTTCAGATTTAGTGAGAGCAATGCACGCGCGCGGGAGCGGCAGAGCCGCGAGACGCGTGAAACGAGGGCGGCAGTCCGAGAAGACACACGCGTGGCCATTTGCGTGTCTCACGTTTTGCTCGACAGACTATACAAAAAAGAGAGACTGCTCGTAGTCTACGCATTTCTTTAATGGAGGTCAAAAGTCTCGGGCACACCTAACACGATATATAAGACTGAAAATGACTCCCTTCACCCCTCGCACCCGGCCAAAACAATTTTGGCTGATTAGATCTCCTTTCTTGAGATCCAACGTTTACAACTAGCAGGATCTTCGTGCACGGTTTTTGCAGTTAATCTAATCCAAACAATGTTGTATTCATGTGCACACTGTACACTTTACCCCCCTCCCCCTCTGTCCTGAAAAGAGTTTGTTTTTCTCTACATTGTTTGCAGGAGGGGGAGGGGATAGTCATTAGAGACGTCCGAGGTATTGCAAAAGTGGATCTCATGCTACATTTGCATATTTCGATATGCTTCCGCTGTTGAGGGAAGATTTATAGTAACTGTCCCCTGGACATTGTACCACATGACTGTCACCTGCAAACACTGAGCCCATTCTGCCATTCACGATTACGTTCCACACGTGTGGCGCTGCGTAATATAAAAGAATTATAAAATACTATAAAAAATGGAATGGAAAGACAAACAAACGAACCAACAAACTTTGTTTCAAACACCGAGCGATTCGATTCGCTGGCTACCACGCGGCCATCACGCGACAGTTTTTTCGCATGATAGACTAGGACCGAATAAGTCGTATCAGCCAATCAAGATTGTGAACCGCGAAATTCGAAATACATTCCAACATGGCTGTAGATTCAAAACATTCTGCTCTTCAAGTTGCTTCGCTTTGTTGTGAAAATCAAACCACTTATCCACAGAAGCAAGGTAATATTTGACAGGACTTTCCCCTGGAGCTCAAAATCTCAGCTAACTTTCTGATTTTCGGTTTTTATAGGTACCTATTCTTGGCAAGCAGAGCTTCGTGATATTCGAGATTGCATGAAAATAAACGACATTCTCGAACGAAGAAGCACTGAAATTCGTAAACTTTACGAGGAGTGCCAAGATTCATGTAAGTTTAATTTTCAAATTCTTCTTTTTTACAACAAGTGTGTTGCGTATTCAGCTGTAAGATTTCCGTACAGCCGCATACATTTAAGCTCTAATTATTACGCATGCATGTTTTGACAGATGACTGTTTTGAGTTTTCACACATTTCACATTTCATACATTCATATGTACGGTATTTTATGTTGCTTTTCTTCTTCTCTTCGCCGCGAGGATTTCTTTTATTTTTCTCACCACGAGGAGCACGAGACACGTGACGTTGCCATCCTTTTCTGATGGTTGTGAAGAATAAACATCGTTGATTTGAGAATTCAACAAATCAGCTATACAAATCTGATTGATCCCAAAAATACATTCCCTATATTTAGTATAAACTAGTGTTGTGTTTGATTTAAAGTGTGTAGTATTTGTTGTTTGTAGCATTTGTGAAAAAAAATTGTGAATTTCTATACAGGGGCAAGTTTAATAAACTGTAATTTACAAGTGTGCGCCCATTGTTTGAGTGTCTAAAAACAACACTTGTAAATTATAATTGTAATAGTTTTATTAAATTGACCCCGAGTTTAAAAATCAATGAAATAGAAACGTATTGATCGCTGGCTTCTTTTTACAGTGGATGAATGTCGTCGTCTTGAGGCGGAGTGGTTCGCTTTAGTTACAGAAAAAGACAAAAACTTTCGGCAACAAATTGAAGAGGTAAGTAATAGATTAAGCTTGGCATACAGGCTGGTTAATATCAAACTTAAGGCTTTAAGTCACACAAAAACCAAGAAATGAGGTCTCGGGGGAGTTGTGTTGTTTTTTAGATTTGTCTTTTGCTTTATGTAATTTGTGGTGGTATATACAGAACAGGAAGAAAGATGGTGGGAGACCAATGTTTAAATATAAGACTACTAAAATGATACAGGGTGCATTGATTCCATTTTGATGATCAGGATCAGGATTAGTGATCCCATCATCCTGAAGAGACCCAGGAGTGATAGTTGAGTCCTTGGTCTCCAAGGATGAGATCACTCGAAAGAAAGCACAACAAAGGAGACAACAAAGGGTTGCCCAAAGAGGATTTATTGTTCCCTTTGATACATTATGATCTGAGTGATCTGCATCCCTGATCCTGATCTGGAATGCACCAAAGGAAATGCAACCAATGTCAAACCTCCAGAATTCAAACACTGGTGAGGAAAAACCTGGTGTCAATGTTATGGGAGTCCTCATATTATAGCTATAGGGATTTCAAGATGTTTGGTGTCTTTGGCACCAAGGGAACTGTTTGTTATTAAAAATATTATCATAGAGGTCTGCATGGGGAGAGCTTCATCTGTAAAAATAGTCAAGCCAAGGGCCAAATAACTAAAAGCATTGTTTTTCTAATTCTACAGGAAAATGAAGAAGCCAAGAGGAATCAGATGAAACAACTGTACGATGTCCTTCAATCACTGGCATGAAAGTCAAAACTATTTGGTTTACTTCGTCAAAACTTCGCTTTGGACCGTTTCTACATGGTGGTCTAACCCTTTATGACGGCTTCTTTACTGTATCTGTAGTGTTTTTTCAGGTGTCTGTGGATGAAATCAAATGAAGTTCATGATGAAAATACCAGTGCCACACCCCTACCTCCCCAGGTACTCATTCCACCTCCCCCGCCACCACCCCCTGTGGGAAATTTGGCAGCTTTTTTGGTATCAAACAGAGCTCTGAAGGAAAGAGGTTCTCAAAGTCACCAGAAAAAGAATTTCGAACCAGTCAAACCAGATCCAGCTACACCAGGCAATCATCTTAATGAAGAGCTCCTCAAAAGAATAAGAAATGGGTGTCGTTCTGAACTAAAGAGCACGCCAGTCAAACGTTCGCCTGGTGGCACGCCACTAAAAAGACAAAGACGGATGTCTGAGAGTGATACTTCTGATTTGATAACTGTGGCACTAAAGAGGAAATTCCAACATACAATTTTCCATAGCCCTAAAGAAAGTGATTCACCACGATCTGTTGTGTCTCCTGGAGATATATATTAACAGAAACATTTTTTGAGGTATATTCCATTATTAATGAAACAACAACAAATTCTCCATAACAATAATGAGCATTTAAGATGGACTGTTGCATTTTCTTGTTGCATTTACCAGTTTACAATAAAATAAATGATGGATTTGGATGCCACAGACAGTAAAGATGTAATTACAAGTAAGCTGCGCAAGAATTTATTTTGCCTTTTACCAGAAGTTATTTAAGTACAACAACCTTCTCTTTTGGGGAAGGGTGTTGTGTGATCACAAAATTAATTTGAAATAAGAATTCCAAAATGAAACTAGAATTATTTGACACTATATTAATGGAAACTAAGATTAATTAACTAGGACGTTTTTACACCTATGCAGCTGGATTTTGAAGCCTCCAGCCTATAGAACAAGATTGCAATGTCATGCATTGAACTGTAAATCTTTTGTTAATCACAGATTAGTACCTTCACAGGCATTTACATTAAGTCTGTGATTTCATCATTGAAAGAAGAATAAATTGCTTCATGGCTAAAGTAAATTTTTTTATGAAATCACCTATCTTACAGTAGAGTGCCTTTCTCACAACACAGTCACTTATGGGATAGTTATGGGGGAAATGGCCTCCTTCATTTTAAGAATTTTAATTTCAAGAACCTTAAAAGCAGAATTCAGTGCACTTTGAATCACTAGGGTACAAAATTAAATTTTAAACCAAAGATGGCACACTAATTTCATACCCACAGTTGCTTAATCATTTTGTATATCAATGTTTTTTAAATTTGTTTTTATCAAACAACAGTGATGAGAAACAATAACAATTATTACAGGTTTGATATCGCACATGAAAAATGGAGCCAACAAAACTAGAAAAATATTGACGCCTAGACAGCTTACAGTTGTAATGTTGATAATTTAGATTATTAAAACTATTGCTAAAGCTTAATGAGTCTTGAGCTTACTATTAAGTGAATAAGAGCTAATTACTGACCGACTAAGCTAAGAATGATTATTACACATTAAGCATCTTTGTCCCTCATGGACAAATTCCGAATCCCTTATATAATCTTTTAGCTTTTATGTATTTTGCATGTACACTGATAGTACTCATTACTTACAAATAAGAACTCGATAAAAGTAATTCTAACGCATAAAATAACAAATTAATTAAATGACTTGCTATCTTTTGTCATTCTGGGAGTTGTTGTCTTCATTAAGTTCTTTTTCCATAGCTTCTATAAAGGTGCTGGTTACTTCCAAACGCTGTTCCCTGTGAAGTTTGCATACAAGAGATAACTTTATAGAACATGCTGATATCAACTTTAAAATAAGAACCCTTAAGTTTTCACCATTAATCACTGGTTATGAATACCATTAAAAACTACAATTTTTTATCATTAGCTCTTAAAGGGAAAACGTATACATACCATTCACTTTTATTGTCAAACTGTTGCTGAACTTTCTTTGGTTTATATTCCTCTGGTAAGACTGCACTTCCAATTTGTGCAATTAAACCAACAGGCAAGCTAACAATTCAGAAATATTTCTAAATTAAATTAAATTAAGTTGCAAACTGAACAATATTAATTTGGGTGGGAAAAGGAACACTTAACTGGTCCTACTTAATTCAGACTCAAAAGTCAAAAGTAATGTTATTGACAGAGCAACAGTGTTTGATCAATATGCTGGCACTGAAAAGTGGGGTCTCTCCTCTGCGGAAGGGCCGGCTCACTCCTGGTTATTCCAATAAAATAAAAAATGCCTTCTTTTCCCTCTTGCTGGCTTCCCTGAGACACAAACAGCCCTCTACAAAAGAGAGTGGAAGTGGGTGGAAAAAATATGAGGCATAGCAAACTTTTTTTTAATGAATTGAGACTGATGCATCTGGAAATTGAATCACACAACTGCCAATACAGTCTCTCAAAACAACAACAAAATACTAAAGAGATTCAAACCTAATAAGTTTGCAAAATTCTGAGGTAAGATCTTATTTCCAAATGTCCTTCACAGCGGGGTTTTTTTTTGCTTGAAGAGAGTTACATATCAATAAATTAAATTATCAATACAAGTTTCCTTAAGTTTTTGGATAAAAAAAAAACTTTCAAAATAACTGCACCGCAGGGCTGTGCTCTAACAGTGCCTGGTGGCACCTGGCATCTTACAGTTTTGCTCCTGCACAACAAGAAAATCTTAGTTTTTTCAAAGAAATCATCCCAGGTGTAGCCTGCGAGAGCATTCAGTTTTTTTGGCTCAAGTTTCTAGTTTCACCTGCCTAGAAAAACTAGAAACTTGAGCCGGAAAAAACGGATGCTCTCACAGGCTACAGGTTCAGCTGAGCACTGGACTCTTCCATTCTTCTTAGAGCAGAACCTTGCACTGTAAGTGCAGCATACCCAGCACTTGCAAGGGGAAAAACAGCCCTCCATCTTACCTCAGGCCTCCTCCTACCAGTACTCCGACCAACATTTTACGCCAGCCAGAAAATATGTTGTAAAGGGCACCAGTTGAGGCTACATTAAATCAAATAAAATTGAAAAAGGAATCACACAAGGTGTGTTCATGGTTATGGTAATCTTTCAGCAACAATCACTGTGGACAAAACTCTCCAGAATGGCCTCTATGAAGACAGATTTTTCAGCAGGCAGTTTACATGTGGTAGGGGCACTTAATTTTGCCAGTACTTCAGGTTTATCTGGGAATCTCTTCGATAAAAATTAATTTAAACTTTTGAGCTTCCGTGTGCTTTAGTTTGGAATTAATTAGCCTATTTCCCCAACAAATTTAAATGATCAAAGTATGGTTTCTGCAGCTTTTTTGCACACATTTCATCACCAAAAAGTAGACTATTTTGTCATAATGATCCTGAGCCAGATCAATTTGGGGACTGGGTTGATTTGTTTATATGGAGGTCGGAATTCTTGGTCTTATTAAAAGGACTTGCAAAGGTCTGAATGATGTTACCACCCTAAGGACATTATAAATAAGGACGCTGTATTGTGCCCTTTTTCCCTGAGAAATAGAGTGAACTTTGTACATGTTTGCAATGATGAAAAAGGAAAGAATAAGGTCTGGAAAAACCTTACCTCCAGTGGCTAAGTAGTTCAATGCATCATCTTTGTTTCGATACGCCTCACATGCAACAAGGAGGAAACTGAAAATTCATATATAAAGGGTTGGATAAACAATAAGTGGCAACTTCAGTGTTATCAATAAAATAAGATGCAGCAGTCAAAAGAATCTTTGGAAAGCTTTGCTAATTTGGCTATTGCACACTGATTTAAAAATTGTATATGTTTAGTTATAATTATAATCTATACTATTTTGTTCTCTATAGTTTCTTGTATTTTCTCACTCTCTCTCTTATTTTTTTCTTTACCTGAATACAAGCAGTGTGAATATGATACTTCATCATGAAAATAACTCTTTTACAAAATTTTCAGCAAAAAAGTACCTTTATTATTTCCTTTCATTACTTTCTTTTGTTTTACTTACCTGTAAATACCCGAGAAGACGCCAGCTCTCCAACCCCATCGGCCACCATACTTTGCAAAGCCTAAGGCAACCGAGGCTTGGTACTGTCTTTGAGCATGCATTGCAGACTGATACACAGTGAGCTGATTATGTCGGCGATAATGGTCATCTGCAATCCGTTTGCCAAACTGGCCACCGAGCAAAAAGGCAAATGCTGATGTATAGCAAACAACACTCGGGATATGCTGAATTTCCTCTCTTGGCCCTTCACTGGATATAAATAACAAAAATAACTTTTAATTCATAATGGTTTTCCAGAAGTGGCTAAAGTAAAAGTTGAATAAAAATTCCAAATACAGTTATTACGTGAAATGTTTGAAAACAGAAGTACTTTGTGAAAAGATTTCTCTGGATGGATGCAGGATGTCACCCACAGATAGAATCAAAAGTTACAAATATAGAAGCAGCCCGGACAAGTATAATGCTGTAAATCCTCTACTAATGCCTACTCTTCCTTCTCATGGCTATGCAATTTCCCCATTCTAGATAATTTATGCTCACTATGATTAAGTTTTCACCTCTGTCTTAAGCATCCCACTTGAACATTACCCACCACCCCCAACCCTTGCCTGAAAAAAGAAAGTAGATACTGTAATTTTTTTCGTACAGACAACACTGACCTCACGTCAAATAATGCCTTAATTCTGTCCCAACCATTCTCTCTTTCATCCTCTGTACTCTGCTTAAACCCTTCCCTAACGAGAACAAAAAAATCTTGTTAATAAGAAAAGCTGGTCTGTCACATTTTAAAATGTGTTCAATATGGTCAACTCTTAGCCTGTATAACAGGTACTTAAAGGGAATATAGGCACAAGATAGAATAGAGCATGCGAGGGAGAGGGGTACCACTCCCTTTCTTGTCATATGCCCCATTCTTTCTTCCACCCATACTCAAGTGACACACCCTATTATTTCTTGCACCAAAAGGCCATTTTCCTGTCAAGCAGCTGCTATGCAGGCTCAAATTTTTGTTAGCTCCATTTCAAAAATGAAATCCGAAGGGTTCGTTCTTTGTCAGCACATTTGAAAAATTTGTCTGAAGGGTCAAAATTTTGCTTTGCTTTTATTTTGAAGATAAAATCCGAACCCCATCATCCTCAGGAGCGGGGGAGGGGTGCGGATAAAAAAATGGAACGTCCCCTAGTATAAATCTCTACTATACTGCCACCCTTATTTTACTTCTTACCTTTGCTTCTCAAAAAAGCTTTGGACTCTTTTCCATAAAGTAACTTTTTCTTCGTCTTTTGCAGACATCGGAAATCCTTCGTAGCACTCTAGCCAAATCTCGGGAAATTTTTAGGAAACATTCGTCGCAAATCTAAAGGTAAAACTATCCAAACATACTGTCGTGAAGAAATCTTGCCTTATTTTTTTATGCCTATTGTTTTATACAAGAGTACTCTAGAAAGTAGAGAGAAGAAATAAAGTTCAACTTGTTGAAAAGTTGGTCACATTAACTTCTCTCCGAGAAGCCATCTTGACCGAGCGAATTTGAAAGGTCTGGCACTGCTGAAGCCTCGATTCTAGGAAAAACACAGAGATCCCACTAACTGCCTCGTCCCTACTCCCTTTTTTTGGAACACGGCTCGTCCCGGGGGGGGGGGGACAGTTGGGTATATTTTGGGTGGGTATGTGCCGCCCGGGACTCCAAATTGATACCTCGTTCTAGAAATGGGTCAATTTTTTACACCCCGTTCTAGAATTCGCCCTAAAACTGTTACCCCGTTCTAGAAATGGGCCAATTGTTTATACTCCGTTCTAGAAAGTTTGTACATTGAAATAGCCCTGTTTTTTTAAAAAGATATAACTTTATTTGTTCGACTTATACATCAAATAAATGCTTCATAATCAGCAACAATTTTAAGAAGAAGATAAAGCCGTGATCCACAATTTTTTATACCCCGTTCTAGAAAACGCCTCTGAAATAGATACCCCGTTCTAAATCAGGAGCTTCAAAATCACGACCCCGTTGGGCGGCACATACCCGCATAGGTAATTTATGGGAGTATCCCCCCCCGGGCTGCTCCGCCGCGAAAACTTTAATCTCGCGAAAAATGTAATAAACCAGCATAAACCAGAATCGGGCTTTACAATATCCGGGTGTGATTTATCCATTTTTGACCCCCTTCTTCCTCTTTCTTACGATTGCAAGCAGTTCGGGCCCCATGTTTTTCTTCCCAGATTGCAACGTACCCTTTCTAGTGCTGGGCTTTTCAGGTAAAAACTGGGATGAGTTTATCTGTCTGATGTAAATAGGCCATTTTACAGTTCTGGGCTTAGTGTCCTAGCCTTTGGAGAGTGAACGTGAGACTGAGGTCGGATACAAACCTCTTCTCTTTCCTAATGTAAATTTTGCTTAAAAAATACTAGTTAGTATAAAGGATAATTAGCCTTCAAAATCTGTCAAAATTGAGAGATAAACAGATTGATAAAGATAGGCGGATTGTTCCTCCAAAATTAAAACCGCTCCATTTTTAAATTAAGACGGATGAAATCAGACGAATTATCCGTCCAAATTGAACATCGTCCCGTTTTCATCTCCAGACGGATTATCCGTCCCTTGTGCTTGACAACGGTCTACGACTAAATAAGGTACTACATGTCCGCTGTACTGTATAATCCAATCTCAGTAACGCTAGGCATGTCGCGTACTACTGTCACAGAGAAGGCAGGAAGTACAGAGGTCTAAGGAATACAAATTTCCCCTTTGGTAAAAAAAGTTCTTTATAAAGTAATACAAACATTTTCGCCGCGAAACATCCTCTATCAATAAAAAACATCATCAGTGATAATAAATGACAATTAAAACTTTTATAACATATCAAAAAGAATGTGACGTGAATGAATGCGACTTTTATTCTTAACATCTTATCAAAGAATTCCTTGCTGGTAGAGGCCTCTTTTCTCTATCAAGAAAAAAAGCTCAGCAATAAAAATCTACAGCTGTTGAACTAAAATTTGCTTTGAAATGACATTGTGAAAATTTAAAAACCCACCTTATTTTTCTTGCAGCTAAAGTTTAATACAGTAAAACCCCTTTAAAATGAGACCAACATTGGGCCATAAAATCCTGGTCGTAATAACGAGGTGGTCGCATGGGTCTTCAAACTAATACAGTGACTAAGTGATTTTAACGTTTGGGTCGAAAGAAAATGATCGTCATAACGAGGTGGTCGTAAGGCGAAGTTTCACTGTACACACAAAAATCTTAGGTACGTAACTTTTTTTCGCCGCATTCATATCAAAGAATTGTTGCGTATTTGGTCGGATATCTCCGTTATTGAGTATGAATCTAGCTAATTCAAAACTAATGAGTCTACTGTAGTAATATGAATAAAACGCACACTACGATCGTAGTTTTGTACTTCAAAACCTAAACTAGCCTGGGAGCAGAATTACTTGTGCGAATTCGGGGAAAATTTTTCTCCCATGCAGCGAGCATAAGTGAAATTCAAAGTCACTTTTCCTCCTCGCTGGATGGCGGCTTCTCCCGAATTCGCACACGTGGGCCTGCTGGCAGGCTATTAATACACTGGACAATAAACCTACTTTACTTTTATAAAATGCACCTAATATAATGTCCTTTAAGTACAGCCAACATGCACAGTTGCGTACCGACTATAGCAAGGTCAACTGAACGCATACTTAAGTGCCTTTTTGGCATTAGATTAAGAATTGCTAAACGAAAATATAGACCTACTTTACTTTTACAACCTGCACAATTTCTTAAATTACCGTGCATCTACCAAAAATTAGAATCTAAATCTACTCTTACATTGCCTTTAAGGCTTTTGTCTTAATAAAAAAAGTCTTTCAGTATTCGCGATTATATCTGCCTTTTACTGTTCAAAGCGAAGTTTCTTCTCTCTAACAGGACACCCAGTTATGTAGAGCGCCAACCAGAAGCGTCGGCGTCCTGTGCTCCGGCAACATCTGTCTTCACAGAATACTGCATCCGCAGCAACATTTCTGAGGGTAGTCAGGTGCGTACACTTTGTGGTCATGACCAAACACCCAGAAGCGACTCGCAAAGTCATTCCACTGATAATGGACCTCAGATACAGGAACAGCTCGCAGGACGTGCCGCTGAAAGAAATTGTTACGCACTGTAGTCCTTCATTTCCCCCCAAATGGTGGTCAAGGAAATAAAATACAAGGGGTCAGGGGGTCAGGGGGTCAGTCAGGGGTGGGGTAGCGGTGAAACCGAGGGTGTATAATTTATATACTTCTTATTGGAGTGATAGAGTTAAAATCGATTGTAAAACACCAAGGTTTCAAGATACCTTCATTCCCCTTTCTTTAACCTGGGACAGGGGCAAGGGGTGGGAGTGGTTTCAGGAGGAAAGCGAGCCCTTTTTTTTATAAGCCTTAGTATATAAGTGCTTTTTCACACTGGCCAAACGTTCGAGTCTCCTTGTTTATTAATAATTAGTTTATAAACAACACTGTGTTCAAAGCCATATTCAATTTCGCATGTCCCCATATCTACACACGGTACCGTTTATTTCGCAGATAAAATTCCCAGATTCTATTGCGTTGTTTCTTTGTTTGTCTCCATTGAATTTTAAGTCTGACTTATCCCGCTCATAAGATATTTTGCTTCAATTTATTTACCTGCATAAGAATACGTTTCGCTGGCCACTTATTGCTGTGCTCCTCTACGAGTCTCTTAGATCCCATGTTAACTTGCTGGTCAAAAAAGGTACTGATCGGCCAAACCTGTGAGTTAAGCAACAACAAGGAGAAGTTATTGAAGTTAGTAAGGAGTTTAAGCAACGACGACGGCGACGGCAACGAGAACGTCAAAACAGCGAAAGGTTTAAGCAAAGCAACAAGTTTGCGCGAGCATCACGCTTTTTAATACATTTCCTTGCCGTTACTGCACGACTAAGACGTAAAAAAGGCCTAATTTAAATTTTATGGAGGACGCAAACAAGCGACGACGAAATTTCCTTTCTCTTTTGAAACTTTAGTGCGAACCCCAAGAAATCAAAACCAGGGAAATGACCCTACATTATACATTTTAAGCGACCTGAAATATACGCAAAGAAGTACGAAAAAACGCTTTGTGATTCCCTACTCCAGCAACAGTAATACGTGTTCCCCCACCCGGTAAGCACGCATCCCTAATAATATGTGCTCCCCACATGCAAAACATATATCCCTAGGGATATGTGTTCCCCCACCCGGAAAACTCATATCCCAAAAGATATGTGTTCACCCACCTAGGAAACACATATCCCATGTGATATAATCCCCCACCTGGAAAACACATATCCCTAGTGATATGTGTTCCCCAACCTTGAAAAAACACATATCCCTAGTTATATGTGTTCCCCCACCTTGGGACCACATATCCCTAGTGATATGTGTTCCCC